AAATGTTTCAACAAACAGATGCAGCTCTGGAGACACTTACTCATCTATGCCAAGAAATTTAGAAGACAGATACCTGGACTGCTGACTGGAAGAGATTCATATTTGCACCCATTTCAAAGAAAGACAATCCAACAGAATGTGGAAATTATTGAGTGATATCATTAATATCACATGCAAGTAAAATTTTGCTGAAGATATTTCAAAAGTATTGCAGCAGTTTATTGACAGGGAACTTATAGAAATGCAAGCTGGATTCAGAAGAGGATATGGAATAAGGGATATCCTTGCTGATGGATCTTAAGTGAAAACAAAGAATACCAGAAAGATATTTACTTTTTTTCTTTAACTATGCAAAAGCATTAGACTGTGTGGACCATAACATATTATGGGTATCATAATGAGAAATGGGAATTCCAGAACACTTAATTGTGCTTGTGGGCAATCTGTAGATAGACAAAGAGGTTGTTATTGGAACAGAACTAGGGGATACTGCATCACTTAAAATCAGGAAGGGCATGCATCATGTTGTATGCTTTCACCATATTTATTCAATCTGTATCCTGAGTAAATAATCCAAGAAGTGGGACTATATAAAGAGAAATGAAGCATCAGAATTGGAAGACTCATTAACAACCTCTGATATGCGGATGACACAACCTTCCTTGCTGAAAGTAAAGTTGGCTTGATGTACTTACAGATGAAAATCAAAGACTAAGTCTGCAGTATGGATTACACCCCAACATTAAGAAAACAAAAACCCTCACAACTCAGCCAATAAGCAACAGCACGATAAATGGAGAAAAGATTGAAGTTGTCAAAGATTTCATTTTACTTGGGTCCACAATCAACACTCATGGAAGCAGTAGTCAAAAAAATCAGATGTTGTATTGCCCTAGGCAAAACTTCTGCAAAAAGCATCTTTACAGTATCGAGGAGAAAAAATGTCACTTTGAAGACTAAGGCACATCCAGCCCAAGCCATGGCATTTTCAACACTTCATATGCACATGAAGGCTGGACAATGAATAAGGAAGACTGAAGAATTGATGCCTTTAAATTGTGATGTTGGTGAAGAATGCTGAAAATACCACTGACTGCCTGAAGAACAAAGAAATTTGTCCAAGAAAAAGTGTGGCAGAATGCTCCTTAGAAGCCTTAGAGGCAAGAATGGCCAGACTTCGTCTCACCTACTTTGTTCACGTGGTCAGAAGGGGTCAGTCCCTGGAAAAAATATCATGCTTGATAAAATGGAGAGTCAGAGAAAAAGGGGAAGAGCTTCAACGGGATAGATTGGCACAATGGCTGCAATGACGGGCTTAAATATAGCAAGGATTTTGAGGATGGCAGGGCAGTGTTTCATTCTGTTGTATATAGGGTCACTATGTGTCAGAATCTGCATCCTAGATTTCTTGTTTAATTTCTTCTATATCTCAAAACAGATTGGCTTTAGAGATACTGTGGTAATTAAATTTGTATGTCAACTTGGCTGGGCCTGGTTGAGTGGCTGGACAACTGGTGGTAGTTATTCCCCATGATGAGTCTGGCAATCAACTCCATGGTGGGATCTACCACAAGCAGCTGAGTAGCTGCCTTTGGGATGCAGTCTGCTTCCTGTATATAAGGAGAAGTCTTGGGGATAGTATCTAGCCTATGGCACACCTGGACCCTGCATGTAGCCGTGTCATTGTTCAGCAGCCTGCCATGCTCTGCCAACCTTGGGACTTTCAATGGACCTAAATTAATGGCCTGCCATGTGGTTTGGTAACATCGGGACTGTGCCTTTTACTTAACCTTGGGTTTGTCAGTCTCAGCAGCCAGCAGCTGTCTGAGTGAAGAAATGCCTCTAGCTCCAGTGGGCCGGGAGCAGGAGGCAGAGCTGAACCCCAAGGCTGAGGGGCTTTCACCCAGCCCCTAGAGCCTGGCACTTTGAACTTGGACTTAAGACTCCAAACTGTAAGAATAAACTCCTGTTTGCTAAGATCATCCCATTTGTGGCATATTCTTGTTAGAGTGGTACTAGATACCCTAGACAAATCTTGTCTAATTAACATAACAAAAGGAACTCATTCTAAAATAAGATCATAACCACAGGCATAGAGGCTAGGATTTACAACATATATTTTTTGTAGACACAATTTAATTTTAAGAATGCTTTAAGTTGGCATGTTGTTGTTGTTGCTATATGCCGTCAAGTCAGAACCAACTCATAGCAACCCCTCCTTGGGTTTCTGAGGCCATATCACTACAGAAGTAGATCACCCAACTTTCCTTCCAAGGAGTGGCTGGGGGATTTGAACCGCCAACCTTCTGGTTACCAGTTAAGTGCTTTAGGCACTATGCTACCAGTGCTCCTTAAATTGGCATAATGGAGGGAAATTACTCTTCATCTTTCTTTTGAATTTATTTTTTTACTATACTTCATGACATGTTATTGAGGTTCAGTGCCTATAAATTTGACCTGTATATAAATTCTAATCTTCCTATAATCAAAGTATGCTTTCACTCATATATGTCCTTCTTTATCCAGAATTCCCCGATACTGCTTCCAAAAATTTTATTTGGAGATCATTAATAATATAAGACATTATTTGATATGCACAAGAAGAGTAGAAACCATCAACAGAGAATAAAGTACACATTCCTCAAATATAGCTTGGGTAGTGAAGAATAAAAACTATGCAACAATGAACTACAATTTTAAGTGGAGAAAGTTTGGCTCTAAATCATGTTCTATCAGATGTAAACACTGAAAACTAAGAATTGAGAGTTGTGTTAGCTCAACAATCAAAATAAAGTTGGAAGCTACATTGTCTAGATTCAAACCTCACTCCACTGTCCAGCGAAGGTGCGACATTTCACAAGTTGCTGGTATCTCTGTGCTTTACTCCCTTCACCTGTAAAACAGAAATAATGAAATAATATGTCCTTTCAGGTTGCTTTAAAGATAAAGAATTTAATATTTTGTTAAATTATTAGATGCAAGAACCCAATGCCCATAATAAGAATGGTTACATTTATTATAATTATTGATAGTCAGTTTCCAAGAGATAGTTTCAGTTTTTCAGAAATATTAATTCAAATTTTTAAATTACTACTAATAAGGTTATACCTTGTATTAAAATATTAAGTTCTTTTGCTGAGTGGTTGAAATCATATCACCGCTGTGGATGACAATAATTTTCTTATAATGATTAGAAGCTAGGACAGAGAGTTCTAAATGTTTTTTAAAAAGTTCTAAACATTTCTTTAAAAAGAATAAAAGGAATAAAAAATATTTAACAGCATCAATAAAATAAGTCCATGATGAAAGGAAATTGTTAGAAATAAAGTAGGTTCTTGGTTAGGAAAAGATTGAGATCAAAAGCAAAGAATGAGGGCACGTGGATAAAAAAAATTTGAAATATAAAATGATAAGGCACATGCTATTTGAGGAAAATAGATCAATATGAAACATCTCCTTTAACCAGACTGAAAAAATTTGGTAGAAATTTTGAAAACTAAGTTGTCATCATAGTTGAAGACCACAAATGCCAGGTTATAAATTTTGATATTTTCTGTTGACAGGTAGAAAATTTGGAGGTATCAAAGCAAAACAGCACCCTCTATTAAGATTTCCTCAGCTCCTAATAACAAAAAACCCAGAACTGTTCAATGAAATGTAACTCATTGCCATCAAGTCAATTAGACTCATAGAGTCCCCTCTTTGGGTTTCTGAGGCAGTATCTCTGTGGAAGTCGATTGCTCAACTTTCCTTCTGAAGAGTGGCTGGTGGGTTTGAAATCATCATCCTTCTGTTTAGCAGTCGAATGCCTTAGGCAGTACACTACCAGAGCTCCCTGCACACACACACACACACACACACACACACATAGTTGTACTTACGTGAGTTTTCATTGTGAGAATGATTAACACATTCTCTGGGATTTAATAAAAGGCTATTTCTGGAATTCTTGAAGTGTATCCTCACAGGGTTTTATTTAGGTGACTAGTCCACATCTCTAAGAATGAACCAAACTCAAACCAAACTTACTGCCATAAAGTCAGTTCTGACTCACAGTGACCCACATTGTGTTTCTAAGGCTGTAAATCTTTATGGAAGCAGACTTCCTCATCTTTCTTCCACAGAGCAGCTGGTGGGTTCAAACCCTTGAATTTTTGGTTAGCATCCAAATACCTTAACCACTACACCACCAAAGAGGGTGATACTCTCTACTTTTCATTCTTTCTCTCCTTTCCCTCTTTTTAACCCTTTATCATCCCTTGAAAAACAATGTAGTCATATGAAAAAAATGTGAGGATTCATAAATATAATAAAATGGCTACTCTACTTTAAAATCTAATGGTTGGGATCCTTACTATGGCTTTCAAGCTCTCCAATTCTGTTCCAGAATCTTAGTTTTCATTTTCTTCTCTGGGTTTCTAGTAATAGTTACTCTAGCAAGGCTGACACTTACTATCCCTCATTAATAGACCCAGAGCAATTGCTTCTCTGATATTTCACAGCTGACAGCAGTTGAATGCTTTTCACTCTGCTGCAAACTGAGCTTTCCATTTCTACCTGTGGAGAGAGTACCCAGTCCAGATGGCAGCTCCTCAGAGAAGCCTATGTAGATTTCCCCAAATAACTTCCTTGCTAGCAGCCTTCCACAGTTCAAAAATAAATATTGTGTTGCTGTTGTTGAATCATGTAATCCCTGATTATATTCTTCTCTTATGTTTTAACTCCTTTTTTCCATTGAATTTATAATATCTTGGGTGGTAAGAAGGGCAAGTTGGCATTCTTCCGTTTTGTGCACGTTGGGTTAATGTGGGAGGCATAGTTAAGCAGAGAGCTGTCTTAGTGGATCCAAGACCAAAACAAAAGTGTCTGTGCTCCATGGCATTCTCTCTCTAACACTTTCTTCCACACTGCCATGACAAACGTCAAGACCGGAAACATCCAGGTACAGCCAACACAAAGCCCAGAATCCATAAGAATAAAGAAGAAATCCATGGGAATGTTCATGGATGGAAACTCCAGGATGGGTCAAATAGAGATCAGCCCTTTATGTATATATTTGAAAAATAATAGTGAAGAAGGGGTAAATGAGTTAGGGATAATGGAAAAAGTTTGATCGAAGGGGAAAAAATAAGTCATTGTGGCTAAAAGAAAGAGACAGAGGAAGGATTGGGGTTGGATGAGACAGGGAAAAATCTACAGAGCCAGCAAGGGTTAGCGAAGAACCATGTTAAAGTTTTAATAGTTTATCCCAGGATTTTACTAAAGGGCTTTCTTCACCCTTTTCCAAGTCCCATCTTACCTTTTCTTCAACTCTAATTAGGGTGTAGTTTGTGGTGATAAACAGGGATGACAATGAGTCCTGAACCCACATTTGTATTCAATTATGCATCTTCATACTTTTCCTTAATACAAATATTGCAAATAAGGAATCTGGATGAAGGACATTCTATCAGGTTGGTCTTGATGACAGCAAATAGTTTGCTTCACCCCCTTTTTAAATCAGATTTGGCCTCTGAAGCAGGGCTGCACTAAGCAGGGGCCAGAGAAAGTTGAGGGGCCCTGAAAATCCAGAATTTTCCCACTGCTTTGGGAAATATGTTCCTGGAACTTCAGATTTTTTAGGAGACAGAACTAGAAGATGACAACTTCTCTAATAAATGGGGCAGCTGGAAAATTTATACAGAAGCAGTCCTGAAATGAGAGGCAAGAAAAAGGAAATATTTCAATCAGGCTTGAAAACTTACCTTTTGTTTTTTTGTAAGCAAAGAGATGACATTCCATAGACAGCTCATAATTCTCTCTTCTTCAGTTCTGATTCCCTTTGAAGAACAACCATGTGTAGGGCATTGCAACATGCAAACTATACTTGGAGAGAGGTCCACTCTGGTTCTGGTGCAGGAGCTAGAGGGAGAGAATGTGCCCCGCATATAGCCAATGCTCCTAGAAACATTGAATTGGACTCTAGAAAAAGGTCTGCAATGTGGGTAGGAGAAAACTTTTTTAAGTTTCTCATTTTTTGCTCTTAAAAATTTCTACAAAATATATGTCCTTACTATCCCATGGCAGAAATTTTTCTGAAGCCAATTTTACTACCCCCTAAACATTCCCTGGCAGAACCCATGAATTAATCATGTCTTCTTCTTCCATCAGACATTTATAGAGATTTCATAAACATTCCCAGAAGCCTACAACTGCATTTCACCTTCCAGAGGCCCAGGACTATACTACCCCCATACAACCTTAAATGGATTTGCTCAATTAGTTACTTACCATAGTTAGTACAGGAATGCAGTAAACCATGGGGCCAATTAATCCCAGACAAGGTAGTTAACAGTCAGATTCTGTCCTCAGAGTCCTCCTCCTTTCCTCATTTGCCCCATGGTGCACCTTCTATTTCACTTACCATGTGCTCATGTGGCCACATCTCTGACCCCACTCCACCCATACACTCTTCTGTAAGGAAAAAGCACACTTTCAAAGTCACATTAAGACATAGAGCACTAAATGTCACCCAAGTATTTATCTTTTAAGTAAAATCTTTTCAATTGGCAGACAAAGGTTTGAGACAGAAAATGACTCAAATATAAGTGATAGAGAATTGAATTCTCTGACTCCACTACTTATGTTCATGTGACTTTAGGCAAGATTATTAACTTCTAGTTTCCTCTTATGGAAAATATTATTGTTAACTATTATCATCATTACTAAGACTGATAATAGTAATAAAACATATGATAGATGTTGTTGAGTGCTGTTGAGTCGGACCCAACTCATAGCAACCCCTCCTTGGGTTTCCGAGGCAGTATCACTATGGAAGTAGTTCCTTCCAAGAAGTATGATAGATAATTACATGAAAATTGCTAATGACATTTTCTATAATTTCTAGAACAATTTGAAGTTGATAAGTAAGTAGAGAGAGGAACAAAGACGAGAGAGGGAATTATATTTACAACTAGTGACACACGAGTAATTAATAAAAATAAATTGTATTTAAAGGTTATTTTTAGTGTTGATCTTCTGAAATACATCACAAATTTTGAATATGATACTGAAGAAAATGAGAGGTAAGCCATTCTGATACCTGGAGGAAGAATTATTAAGACACAGGGAAAAATCTGTGCATAAATTCTTAGGAAGGAATTCTTGCCTGTTGTCATGTATAACGTTGGCAGGAACAATGGTTTGTATATAATAGTGAGGCCAAAGAATTTACAGAGTTGGGCACTAGTTGAACTAAGCTGGAAATAATTAATTGTGGTTGAATATTATTATTGCTGTGTGTCGAGTCAATTTGGACTTGTAACAACCTTATATGAGAGAACAGAAACGATAAAGCACTGAAAAAAAATTAAGGATGACTGCCCTCTAGTATTTCTGAGGAGAAGATAGCAACACCATTGCTGTTGGATCAGTTATGACACACAGTGAACCTGTGGGGCAGAGTAGAACTGCCTGGTGGGTTCTTAGGGCTGAGAATCTTAAGACAGGTTAGCTCCTATTCTCCCATGGGATGGCTGGTGAGTGTGTGTCTCAGCTTTTCAGATGGCAGCTAGGCACTTGGCCACTGTCACCAGCATAAAATCAGAAAATTTTTCCACAAAAAAACAGAACACAAAATTTTAAGTGAAAAAAAAAATTACTCAACATAAACAAAAAATAGTAAAACAACTGAATCACAAGAGAAGAACCAATAAAAAGTAAAACATGAAGAAGAGGAAACTTCTGTGAAGGTCAGGCCTATGTAACAAATTGACAGTCATCAGAATATAGTGGTAAATATCTTTAAAGAAATCGAAAAACACACAGAAAACAAAACTAGTGGAGGATTAAAATCAGAGACCAGCAAGGAAATC